ATCATTGCAAATAGCATTCACTTGAGTCAGTGAGTCGGAAAAATTTTTCAAAATTAATCCATAGATTTTGTGACGTATCAAATTCGGTCCTTCTTATCACGATAGTATCCAAAATTCATTATGTGAAATGAATTGGGCAGGTTCAGTTTGGTGGATTGGTTTCAGATGAGAATATTGTTCGTGCTGGAGAAGAGGATGGCGAACTGGGTGAGTATCGCAGAAAGTTGCATCGTTTCCTGCAGACGTCGTCCAGTTACAGTCCAGAAAAGTTACTTGTACTGTTGCGTTATGATTGTGAGTTTGTTGATTCCGTGATTTATCCTTTCAAAATTTCATTCAAACTCATAACTCACAAGAATTGGAACGATACGGAAGAAGGTGATGGAAAGCAGAATACATTGATTGCAATTTAGTAGCAGCACTGAACAGTTGTGACTAACAAATTGTGGTAAAAGGAGTGCGTTGTTGAAAGATGCCAGTAATGCACTTCAAAATATTCGAAATCTTTCACAAAATGTTTGTCAATTTGTCTGAACTATGTTGTGGATATTTTCATTTCCGCGCTAATCTCGTCTGATTATTGTGCATTAGAAATGTTATCGTAGGGAACAAATTTGAGCTGGAATTTTATTCGGCTAAATTTTTTAGCGATGCACGAAGAAAGAGCGATTTTGCTGGGCCGATTGAAGCGACACGAACAAGCACTCGCCATCTATACGAATGTGCTGAGAGATTATAAGGAAGCCGAGAATTATTGTAAGATAAATTACGACAGACAAGATCCTGAGAACTCAAAGGTTCAGTTTTCATTTTCAGATTTTGTTTTTTTGAATTGTTCTTTCGGAATGTAATCGAAATAAACCACTCGTCATCGAGAGTATAGTTAAATTGAAAATGGCTTCAGTTTTAAATTGTTTTTTTCATCGGTTGAATATTGTCACCTCTTCACTGAATAATGATAAGAGAATTTGCACTTTAATATTATGTTTAATTCAATTTTTCATTCGGAATTTACATATGCTTTGTTATAGGTATATTTGATATTGCTTCGAATGTATACAAATCCTCCGGATTCATCAATATTGGGTCTGATGCAAAGTGATATCTACCGAGCGCAGCCGAATCAGAATGAGGCGATCAGGATTCTCAAGGAGCACGCCAATGCTATTGACACTGGTATACGAAGAATTCATCCTTGTAAAATTTGCTAGATCACAATGTGAACGCCAATTACTAATAAGCCTATCATTAAATCGGTCTGGAGAACCACTGGGCGTTGCAGATCGTGCCTAATCATTATTACTGGCCGTAAGCATTGTGTTTTTTATTTCAGAGGAGGCGATCTCTCTTCTTCCAGACGACTACACATTAAAAAGTGTCTGGCATGCTTTGGAGGCTGTTCTTCAAGCAACGCATGACAAGCGAATTGCGGTATGTCTTTGTTGTTGGCGTGTTTAATTGGCGATATTCCTTGGGGATGATGGTGTTATCGTTTTTTCTTTTTTGAGTTTATTCAGTCGATTGCGAATTTTGATAATTCATTAGCATTTCTTATCGCCAGCAGTTTTTGTTTGAATCGATGATGGTAGTTGAATGGTTTTATTGGGCATCAACTTGTTT